GTGGACACGTAACCACGACCGCCTGAGATGTGCCAAAGTAGCCAAAACAGGACAAGTTTAATTTCTACACACAGCGGTTACAAGTTAAAGGGACTCACCTCTGCCAACCAGCTCATTTCACCGCCCGTGTGACTCGTCTGTTCAACCAGAGAGTCGTCCACCGATGAAGCAGCGCTGACAAAATCAAATAAAGACAGTAAGTCCAGTGAAACCCACCAAAACAGCAACAATACCAGCAATGGCAGCACGACTCATGATGCACACACTTGAATAGAAAAACATCCTTTTCTATTTTGAGCATTAAAATACATTTGATCTTGAAAACATTAGCTTAGCAGCAACAGATGAATCTCCACTGTATAGTTTTGTGCATTTTTTAAACAACTAGCTTGAAAACATCCCACAAACTACAGAGAACAATGAAACCGTTTACGTGTGACTCTTCCAGTCACTTTGAATTGTTTAGTTTTCTTCTCACCGTTTGTATGGATGACGTTTAATGAACTCCTGCAGTTTAGCGAACATCTTCACGCAGGTCAGGCTCACTGAGGATCTAGAGATGTACTGGTGGTTTCCATGGTAACCAACGGCAACTCCAGTTTCAAACGGTTCGAATTCCAGAAGTGTTTTTTAAAAAAACAAAAACAAACTAAAAAAACTGATGCATTCATTGCAATAAATATCAACAACCTGAGAAGCTACCTAAAGAAAAGTACAAATCGTGAGACACAAGCTGACAAATGCTGGTTTGGGAGCCAAATCTAAGTTCTGTAAAATACTTCAACACTGGAAACTTCTATATTTTAACCCTCAAAAAAAAAAAAAAAAGAAAAGCATCTTGTCTTGGAGGCCATTTTAAGGGCTCATTGTCTCCACAAACATAACTTTCACAGCCAATAGTACACGTCATGTCACAGCTTGAACTAACGTCAGACAAAAGCTGATGAACTGTGTCGTGGTTGAAGAGGTGTCGCTGGAGGAGGTCAGCTCAGTGTCCTATACGTGGTCCTCAGACTTGTGGGGTGTTGATTCCTAAGAGGACTCATTGTAGCCTTCTGAAACCTTCTGAATCCTTCTTGCCAACATGTTTCTTGAAAGCCTAACCATTTTTGAAACATCTTTATTGGGGGGTTTCTGAGCTTCTCTCAGAACAAGTGGACTCTGGAGTCACTTCCAAACTTTTGCTGCATTGATTCTGCAAAAGACTCGTCGTCATGGCATTTGGAAACCAGCAAATTCTTCTTGCCAAAGCGTTTCCTCTGTTTTTAACAATGACTTGCCTTTTGGTTTGTGGGTTTCTCTCAGAATCAGTGGAGACAGATGTGCTATCTTCTGGTTGTGAGTCGTCCTGTCCATGTGACTCGTCTTCTGTTGTGCGGGAGGGCGTTAAATCTGCAACAGACTCATCACCGATACCTCTTGCTGCCCTTTCACTGACCTCTGAGATAAGGTCGTCTGTAGACATGTCAGACACCTCCTGCAGAGTTTCAGCATCATGATCTCTGAACATTTGCTGCATTAATGTTACAACACTTGCAAGCTGTTCAACTCTGGCAGACGAGTTCAAAATACAAAAATAAACCTTTTCGGCTTCTACTAGTGAACACTTTGACACCGACTAGTTACTTAATAAGGTCAAAAACATCCCCACCAGCATAACTAATGGACATTTTGGCACTTATTAGTTAACTTTTTTCCCCTCACCAGTCAGAACCTAACAAGTTGAACTGGTGGACATTTGCCCTTCACTAGTTCACATGTATGCAGTAATATGGCGTCAGTAGTTATCTAACTGCAGTTTCACAGGTCAGGTCAGAAAAAGTCATACAAGCACACAATTTGACAGTGAATCACCTAAAGACAAACTGGCCAATGGAGACTTTTTTTTTTTAAACAAATGCTGCAGTAAGATCTGTATGTTGGTGTCTTTATTGGATGAAATGCACAATATGTACAGAAGCATCATTTTACAGTTAAACGATTTATATTTAAACGGCCTTTTAGTGATTCTAAAACCCTTTAAAAACCAACTGACCTCATCAGAGCAGCTCACATTTAAAATGACATTAACAGCTCAGTGGTAGTAGCTAACAGACAGACAACCTGCTAACGTTAATACGGCATCACAAAACAAGAATCGACGGTAAAGAAGTGATCAGTGCAAATGGAGTGAATCGTGTTAAGTCTGCTCCAGTTTACCCACAACCTCCAATCAACAGCAGCTACAAAAACGTATGATGTTGAAGTGATCCATCAGCATGCAGACGTGTTCTAGCGTAAGTACGGCAGCAGGTTGGCAGTGAACCACTCTCTGGTAAACTGCAGGTGGTCGCCCTCAGTGGCCAGAAAAACCAGCTTTCCAGCTTTGTCCATCGCTGCCAGGCCCAGCCGGTCCTGCACAAACAGAACAGACAGGGTCTTCAGGTTTTCACTTTGGGTTCTGTTTTTTTTTTATTTGCTGTGGCGCCGTGAGAGTGGAGCCAGCTGCAGCAGCTCTGAGCTACTTTCTGTGTTTTCAGCTGTTTACTTTGATTTTTCTTTGCTCTTTTTAATATTTTAATTTCCCACAGCTGTAGCACATCTGTGTGCAGATGCAGATGTTCTCTTCTGTTTTCTGAGCTACAGCTTCAGAACACTGCAACACACTCGAGACAGGTGGCACAATAAACACCTCATTTTGTTTGTGGCTGGGATGTGGATCAGAAGTGTCGCAGCTCACATGAAGCTATAACCAGCAGTCTGTTAGCTTAGCATAACGACTGGAACCAAAGGAGACCAGTCTGAACAGCTGTACTGATTAGTTGGAACTATATGGTCCCAAACTTGTCAAATGTGAAATAGAGCGTTTTTTCCTTTTCTTAAAATCACAGTAACCTGAATCCCTTTATGTTTTGGAGTGGTGATCGGACAAAAGAGAGAAAAAAGAAAAATTACATTTCCCTGCAGCCACAATCAGTAGTCCGTTAGCTTAGCATAAATGGACTTTTATACACTGTATGCTTAAAAAGAGGGGAAACCACTAAACTGTGCAGTTGTACTGATTAATTGTAATTTAATGCTTTAAACCTGTAAAATGTAAAACTGAACCATTTGTACTAAAATCATAACATCCTGAATACTCTGATGTTTTGGAGCAGAAAACACAAAGAAAGAAATTTGACTGATGCTACAACCAGCCATCTGTTAGCTTAGCACAAAGGCTGTAAACAAGTAAAGCAACTCGTCTGTCTGACCAATCGTACTGATTCATCTTAATGATATGGTGTTAAGCTTGTTAAATGTGAGAATGAGCCACTTTCCTGTTCTCACAAACATAATAACAGAAATACCTTCATGTTTCTAAATGTTGGTTGTCAAAAAAATCAAGATGAAAGTTGACTGACGCTACAACCTGCAGCAGTGAGCGTACACAGCCAGCCTGGTTCTGTATAACTGTAGCCGTTCACTCTCATTTTATTCTCCCACAATACCTGTCATTAAAAACTAAATCACCTGAATAGTTTTGTGTTTTGAATTTTTCACCGGCCACACAAAAAAGAGCTAAACGGCTAATCTGCCATGCAAATGAACCAGTTTAATGCAGTTTTATAGCTCATTGTTGAACTGAATTATTTTAATTATTATTTAACAATATGAATTGAACTAATGGATACGGTGGACGTGGTCTGGAAGCTCTCACCTCTTTGTAGAGAACGCTCTCCTGCAGAGTCTCCGTCTCTTTGGCCTGGCCGGTCTTCAGGAAGCCGAACCACTGCGAGAAAAGACGGTTCGGGTTTATCACGTGCACTCGTTTGTTCAGGAAGCCGCTTCAAAACACACAAGAAAGAAGTTGAGTTTGTCACCTCGGAGTCGACAGGATCCACCACAGAGTCCTGCAGGAACTTGACCATGACGAACTTGTCCAGCAGCTGAAGGTTCTTCTTGTACGTCTCATTCACAACCTTCAGACGCAAACAGAAGCTGATCATGTCTGATAGTAGAGATGCAATGATGTCAAAGAGAAATAAAGACAGAATAATCACTCAAACGCTGCAACAGTTTAAACAGCTCCTCGTGTTGCATTCAGTGTCTTTAACAACCTCACATTTCTACTTTACACATCAGCTCGTTTGATTTAAGACTCTTCAAAGGTTTGGAGCTTTTTTTAATTTTTATTTTAATGTGAATAAATCCTTCACTTGTGCTTCTGTAAGAACAAACTGTGTGTCGCCAGATTGTGAAACATCCGCTGCAGGTTAGCGTGCTAATTCAAGATGAACTTTATTGTCCCAGACGTGGGAAATTTGTGTCGGGCTGTTCACACATGCTGCAGCCGCAAACAGGGACAACACAGGGAATAGACAGAATAAATAAATGTGTGCATACATCAAGTAAAAGCAGAATAAGATGAATATCATATCAAGTCCTAAAACCTGGCACTTTAAAAAACACAAACAAAAAAGCAATTAGAGCTATTTTACTTATTAATTAGCCTAATCGAAGTCGGAACAAATGAATTTTTAAATGTGTTCAACCGGCAGCGTGGGACTCTGAGCCTTCCTCCAGAACCACTCTGAGTACAGAGAGTGTGAAGGTTCGCTCAGGATATAGTTGGATTATTTATTTTTCTAATATTACTCTCTTGTTTTTCTTTTTAAAGACTTGTTCTTCTTATAGCGTCTTCTTGCTGCTGCACAGCCGTGAGACTGTATGTGACAAATAACTCTTGAATCGTTCTAACTGCTGATTATCTTTTCTAATGGTTGTTAACGAGAATTTCAGTGTTGAATTTTATAGATTTTGGATCGATCTTGGTGCCAGATGCTGTGATGAACCAGTTTCCGGATCACGTTTGCATCAGGAAGACAGATGTTGGATGAACAGAGCAGAATGAATACGGAAAGAAAAGCTGTTGCTCATGGTGCATGAGGTTCAGACGTTCTCATAGTGACTGAGGCAGACAATATTTAAAATGCAAAAAAAGAAAAGTCCAGCGTGGACACACCGACCCTCTCCTGGTTGACGTCGGCCAGAAACAGGCTGTGCTTCTTGTACAGGTCGTCGTTCAGCGGGTCGTGCCAGTACTGGGCCTGGACCAGGCTGAGAAGCACAAACACTCGGGTCAGTGAACATCACATCAGCAGCTGCAGCGCGCGGCTCAGGAAGCTGAACTTACTGTTTCTGAACCATGTCGGAGTACGCGCCGCTGTTCAGGGCTTTACGGATGAAGTCGCAGATGTGGGAGGTCTCACCGGGACACCTGGGCAGCCCGTACACACCTGAGGAGGCACCAACACTCAGCGGCGCTAATAACGATGTTCAGGCATGTGAATGTATTGGTTCATCACTGGTAAACACTTGTTTGTATTGTTCTTATCGTGTTTTGATGTTGATTTGGGTTTTTTTCTTTATTTTTCTTATTGTTCTTTTCATTCTTCTGGCTGACAACCAGAACCAAAGCACTGACTTGGTGCCATCTCGTGTTGATACGTGTGCCGCTACGACAATAAAGAATCCTTGAATAATAACAACTTTATTTATTTAGAACCTTCTACAAACAGAGTTTATGAAGGGCTTTGAAGACAGGGCAAAAAAGAAAAGAACCAACCAAACGACTCCATCTTCTACAGAAGAACACGAAGATGATGGAAAGCTCCAGTGTAGAACTTTAGGTTCTATTAAATGGGGACGTTTCTGTCATAAGCTGGATCACTACTCCAGTGTCACTGCCCGTATACCTCTTTTCTTGTCTATCCTGTTTTTATTGTAGTTCACTGATTTAATTCTCATTTTTTTGGTAATATATTGTATTCATGTCTTTTTTTCTTTCTATTAGGTTTTGCATTTATTCTCATTTTACCGTATTTTGTCTGAGCAACATCTGGAACAAGAATTTCCTTCAGGATTGATAAATTCTATTCCATCGTATCTTTTTGTTTTTAAGATTGTTTTCTGGCATGTCTGGCTTTATTAGACAGGACAGTGTGAGAGTGAGACAGGAAAGGGGGGAGAGAAGAGACCTGCAGCAAACTGTCGTGAGTGGGAGTCGAACCCACGACCTCTGTGTCGGGGAACTTCAGCCCCTGCTCATGGGTCGGCCGCTCAACCAGGTGAGCTACATGGACGCCCCGATCGCATCTGTTTCTATCTTATACAAAACTTTATGAATCTGGAGGGAAATTGTTTTTGCCAAATAAGAAAACTGAACTCCAGCGTCCACGTTTGTGCCATCCAGCGCAACATGCAGCTCAGTGGTACAAAGGAAGATGAACCATCGGGTAAAACTTGGTAGGAATATTAATTCATTGTTGATTTTGGTCTCTCTTCAAGATGGAAACACTGTTGTCATGACTTGAGGTGTTTAGACTGAATGTGGTTTACGGTTTGTTCTACCGTCAGCTGCTCTCAGGGAACTGGGACTCATGAGGTTTGGGTGCTTCCTCACCTTGGTGCTGGCCGCCGACGGAGATCAGGGTTTTCATTGGTGGGGAGGGACAGCGCTGAGCCACAGCTCTCCTGAAAGCAGAGGAATCAGAGCAGCTCTCAGTTATAGTGCGACAACTTATCAAACCTGCTCAATCGATGAGTTAGAAAGTTCCATGAAAATAACCTTCTTTTCACTTTTGTGTTAAAGTATTTCATATTGAAATGTTTAGTTTTATATTGCGGTGACCTGCAGCTACATGTGGTTCAGAAAACATCACGAGCTGACTTCTGTTATCGACTGTCTTTTGTTAATGTGCTCAAAGATGAAACTTTTCCTGACCTCTTCAGTTTCTTACATACTTCAACTCGCCCGTTTTCAGAGATCGTTTCATGCATTTGTCCAGTATTACGACATGATGAGAAACTGGAGAGCCCTCAGTAGAGGGACACAGCTGCCCAATGAGTGCAACTTTGACCTCTCCAGCGGTCACCAATGCATGTATTGACCCCAAAATCTAATCACTATGAGAAGGGACCATACCGAGGTCATGTGTGAAGTTTCATGTTCAGACTCCTGTCCTGTGAAGTGCTAGACCAGAGATCTCCAGCTCTGGTCCTCATGAGCTGCTGTCCTGCAGGTTTTAGACGTCTCCATTCTGCAGCACACCTGACTCACAGGAATGGATCAGTAACAGAACTTGTGTAGAACTTGACAACAAGCTGTTGGAGATCCATTAATGTGAGTCAAGTGTGCTGCAGTAACGTCTAAATCCTGCAGGACAGTAGCTCACGAGGAGCAGAGCTGGAGATCTCTGGTCTAGACTGTTAACAGACAAACACATGGGCACGATTTCTCTAGAGTTGCTCATCACACCCAGAAAGATTCTGGTGTTTATCTGTCAGAGTTTCTGAGTTGATGTGACAACAAATAAATAAATTAAAAGAAAACTTATCTCATAAAATATTTAAGAAACTTAAAATTTCATAAATATCCTTATAAATATCTATATTATATGTTATAAAACATGTTTAATGACGCGACACACTAAAAGTATCTTCGACTGAAGGCCAAAGTATTTGTTGTTCTGATGAAATAAAAGGCTCCTGATATTATTAAAACCTTCCAGCGTATTTTGTGTTTCAGCTGCAGCCCTTTCTGTCTGTCTCTATAACCATCTTTATTGTATTTTTCCCCATTTACTTTATACATATACATTATATTTAGACAAACAAAGGGCCATGGAGGTAACAGGAACCAACGACGTGATGAGAAATAACAGATATTGTTGTTCAAACAGGCTCAAGTTTAAATGTGAGAAAAAAACCTGCTGAAAGCGGGTCGATGGGCGATTGATATATAAATCTATAAATCCACATGACATTTTAAATATCGATAGTTTATGATAAAAGTGAATGATAAGCAAATGGTGGAGGAGAAGATGATTGGAGATGGAATGACCCAAAGATATTTAAATGTTTTTGTTTTTGACTGTTTTCTTGTCATAACGTCACATTTCTCCAACATTCCCACAACAGAAGCCGTCAGTGTCGAGAGCCGGCGCTACCTACAGGAACTGCGCCCCCTGAGAGAAGCCCATAGCGTTGTATCCGCCCTTCAGTTTGGGATCCTGAGCCAGCTGACTGCACACCATCGACACCTGCTCGTTCACGTCCATGAAAAACCCATTTTCCGTGTCCTGCAGGAGAGGGGAAACATGAAAAGTTCAAATCACGAGCGGCATGATTAAAGGGAGACAACGAGCTCGGTGGGCCGGCAGAAGAACCGGGGCGGATCAAAGCCCACGGCGGCGGCATCGAGCTGCGTCGTGCTGCGTCGCTATGAATATTAACACACAGTGGAGCTGCAAAGGAGCCATTTTTCTGATGTAACTCGAGGTTCCGAGCCTGCAAATGTCACAGAAAAGGAATCGTCACGTCACCAATCGCTGCCGCCACCGCCGGACTGTTGGCTTCACATGTGATATTCTTCTCTAAATGTCACATTTTCACGTGTATTGTGTGTTTGTGGGAGAAGGAAAAGGAGGCCTGAGATTTCTGCTGAAGGCTCCCAACCTTCACAGAAACAGAATAAAGTCTCAGAGAAATCCGACACTGACTGAAGTAGCTGCTTTTTTACTCCAGAAACATCATATTGATCAGAAATGCAATTAACGATCACTTCCTTTGCCAAATGATGCATCCTTTGTTACCTCAATTAATCAATTAGTTGCTTCGTCTATAAAATGTCAGAAAATGTGGATCGTCCTCAAATATATAGAAATGAATTTACTAATTGTTAAATACATTTAAAGCGTTTTTATCCCTGAGCCATAACAAGCTGCTGATTTTACATTTAAAACATACTTTCTGTGCAACATGTTGTTTATTTTTTCTGTGCACTTATGAGAGAAATGAACTGAATGTGGGAATGCATTCTGGCTCTTTTGCACAGATGATGCACTTTTCAGTTCTGTGATATTCATACAATGACAATAAAGATATATATTGAATTTACCACCACTGAGAAGGAAAGAAAACAGAGAAAAGTCGAATTTAAGAAGTTTAAATAGTTACTCAAATGATGAATACATTATCAAAACGTTGGCGGCTAATTTAATATCTGACAACTAATAGATTTATTAATTAATCACTGCAGCTTTAACATGGATAAAATAGTAACGATATCGAATCAAACTCAAGAAAAATCATAGAAAAGTTTTTTAAAAATGAGAGTTTCATCAACATATTAATCATTTCGACCTTAAATAGTCACTTGAGGTGAATTTCAGAGATCAATACCTGCACCACGTTCTTCCCGATCATCAGCGACAGAACATAAATGCCGGAGATCTCCTCCTCGATCATCTTCTTTATCGCCCCCATGCTGAGCGGGTTGCAGCAGCTGTCACCTGGTGGACAAACATGTAATAATATTATTATCTAAACGGCTTTAGGCGTCAAGTTTTTAGCCCACGCTGGTCTACGGATGGCAATAAGATGGCAAGACATCCAGCACAATATCGTTAGAAAATGCACAGTGTCAGATGTTTGACCTTCACTGTTTTCAGATTCTTGTGCTTAAATCTCAGCTTCAGGCCAATCTGATGTGAAAAAGTGCACAAACAAAAAGAATAATACTGCAAAACATCTGGTATGCAGGAGCTAAACTTTGGAAATGCAAAAAAAAAAAAGAGCTTGCATATTCATAGATTCTGGATTTTCCAATGATGAAGGAGGCGCAGATGTCGTTTCAGGAATTTATGAACAGCTCACTGAACGTTTCCCGCAACTTCTGGCAGAAATTAATATTCACAGCAGAGTATTTTTATACATCTTCAAACATCTCTGGAGGGAATCACACAGCCAGCTTATCAACATAACCTTCGTCTGTTTGTGAGAAAACTCCACACGGTGCCTTTAATTTACATCCTCTGCTGAATGAATAATCAGCGTGAAAACATTTAAAATGCTGGAAATCATCTGTGTTGTTCTTATGGTCAACAAATAAAGGATGAATAAATAATAAATAAATAAAATAATCCTGTCTAAAGGATAAGGGCTGCAGTCTGTGATTATTTCATTATCGATTCATCAGAAAATGTGAACGAAGAAAATGTTTAACCAAATGTAAAGTGGCGTCATAAAAGTTTAAAACACAAAGAGATCAGGTTCCAACAGAAAGAACAAAGAACAGCAGCAAATCATCGCTCTGGAAAACCTTTTTTTTGCTTAAAAATGACTTAAATAACTCTTAAAATAATGCATTTTCTGGAGGTTGTCCGATTAAATAGCATAAATGAGACACACATGGGCACTGCTAGTTATCTAAAATATCATATTTATGTGTGTATTTTAATCTGCAGCTGAAAATAGATCCAAAAAATGCACCTTTTATTCCTGCTTGATGATAGAAAGTGGACGTAAATGCAAAATTAACTTTAATTATATGCCTTTAATGCCAATTCCAACCATATTCTATCTCAGAATACTTAACATACTAAGAACATATCATATTATATTATAGAAAGCACGTGGTGATAGTAGTAAGGATTAATTGATATGGTTTCGTTTTTTAGGGCCGATACTAATGCCGATCATCAGTAGATAAGAAAGGCCGATAACCAATATCTGACCAATATCTATTCCTCTGTTTAGACTAAGACTAAGGTCCAGATCTTAAATCATTACTAATGATTGTTTTCTAGACTCTGTTTCAGGTTAATCAGAGGCTGCCTGCTAACTTAGCTGTTAGCCGTTAGCGTAGCATTAGCCGCTGTGGGAGAAACCGGTTTCCTGGTTTGTGTTTGTTGTTCAGTCTGTGCTTGAGAGACATTTCTGAGAAAACAGAGTGACGACAGACAGAAAGAGAAAGGAGCTGCATCAGACCTGAAGTGTTTAATTTATCAGCAATCAGTCAAAAAAATACTGATAATTGGAAAAACGTCAAATATCGGCCACAATAATCCGGCAGGCCGATAATAAATCCATCCCGAGACAGTGGGAAGTTCTTCCTACACAGGGTAATGAATTTGGACAGTAGTGAAAGGTGGAGAGAGAATGTTGGTTGTTGTCTTTTCATTGGATGAACACCAGCATCACCTGCTAACTATCAAAGGAAAACAGAAATATTATAGTTTATATTAACTTCTATTGAATAAACGGTTTAACTTTGACATGAAAAAATCGTGTTATTATAAATTCTGCTCCAAGGAGCCAAACTAGATTGAGTTAATGCTGAAAGGCAGTATGTATGAATGTACAGTCGTCCTCAGATCTATTCATCTCCTTCCATTAAAGAAAATCCAAAATTCACAAAAGTGACTCGAATAAGTAGAAACTGAAAAAAGTAATAATAAATAAAAATTTGCTAAATTATAATGTAGTGAAATAAGACGTTGCTTTTGAATTGTGGTTGAAAAGAATAATTTAAAAAACAAACAAACAAACAAAAAAAAACTGTCCTGGACCAATGAGAGGCCTTTGCTGATGAGCAGTGGTCCAGAACACCTGTCAGCAGGTGCACAAGTCTGACTGAGAGTTACAGGAAACACCTGATGGCAGTGATTGGCTCAGAGGGTTGTTCAACTAAATATTAGTTTATGGGTCCCATCATGCTGGTTTGCTTGTTTTTTTATATATATTTCTGTTGAACCACAATTCAAAAGCAATGTCACGATTTTCATTGTTCTTTTTATTTATTATTACTTTTGTCAACTTATTTCACTGACAGCTGTTTATTTCCTTCTTTAATGGGGGCTTTGAATACATTTGAGGACGACTGTATATAAAAGCCAGCGGTGTGTTTTTTTTTTTTACCCTGAGACCGATACTGTCGACGCTAATTTCGCTTCCTCAGCTGGTATTTTCCCAGACACCATGAGAATAAAATAGGGAAGCTTGCAGTAAAAAGCACATCAGTCTTATCTCATGTCACAGGGCAGCCAGGTTTGTGTCTCGGTAGCAGTAACGTTTGTATTTACAAGAAGCTGATCAGGCAGGAATGTAACTGACGCATCTTGTGGAGGCAAGGCAGCCGAAAACAAGACGTCCTCATCGTTTTAAGAACGTAGCACAAAGGAGTCGCTTAAAATGTTAGTTGTAAAGTTAAGAAAATAGTGTCACAGTTAATTAAACCTATAAAACCCCAGTGATTATCTGCTATCTATATATCTATATATCTATCTATCCATCCATCCATCTATCCACCTATCTATCCATCCATCTATCCTTGCTGTACATAACTGCACTATTTTCCTGTTTCCCTTTTTGTTTTTATATATACGTTGTTGATTGTCGTTGTAAAAATGCAGCTGCACACATCACACACACCAATCTTTTATGTTTTATGTCATTTTATCGTCATATTTTTTGTGTATGACTGACATTATTATTTTAATCTATTTTATTTCATTTTATGTTAGAGCTCAGGACGTGCCTTTGTTGTTTTGCTGTCTTGCACTGCAGCATAATGACAAAGCTTTTAATCTTGTTCCCTTAATTTGTCACTTTTTTGTAGCTTTAAAAACAGCTGGAACAAAACACAGAAACTATCTTGTCATGCAGAAGTGACTTTTTTTTTCAATCTTTAAGCTAAATAAGTGGAAATAAAGGAGGTAAACTGGATGTTTCTTAGACACATGAACTATTTTGCAGTCGCTCACCCATCCCGTGCCACAGCACCAGGGGAACAGTCCCGTTGTTGGAGTCATCATAAGGCCTGGAGGCAGCGAGCAGCACTGGACCAGCCAGGAGGAGACACAGGAGGACCGCTGACATCCTGAACCCTGTAAAACACAATAAACAGCATCAAATGTCTCCTTCCTGCCTTCATGTTGTTCAATTTTACCCACCAAGGGAACAACAAACAAATCACATGTGAGAAAAACATCCTTACTTTTCCAGTGAGTACATTTAGACAAACTGTTTTTATTGTATTGACACACATTATATCTGAGAACTATGTGTAAACTGTCTGCATCATTGTTGTTGTGTTTAGGTCGGTCTTGTCTGATCTCTTGAATAGTGGTCGTTCCATCTCAAGGATTTCTGAAACAATTTCTTCTCAGCGATCTGATTTGTTTTAAAGTGTAAAAGATAAAGTCCAGATATTTATAAAGATGTTTGTGAAATTTAAGCTTGGTATATGAAAAACTTTCAGATATTTAACACAAAAAAAATGCAAGTTGATCCACTTCCGTGTTGTGTTGTATTGTCTCGTGTTCAAATTGAACATGTTGCTGCTACCTGTTTCCATATTTCTAGTTTTGTTTTATTTTTTTGTTTTTATTTTATTTTATCTTATCTTAACACTTTAGCTCTGGACCTGGAAAACGCTCTCATTTCACTGTGCACTGTGCAGCTGTATGTGGCTGAAATGACAATAAAGTCCTTTTAAACTTTGAACTTGCAGCACTTTTTTTTTTTACACACTGAAATTTTAACTTGCTTTAAACCTTTTTATATGCACTCCAGATATTAAGAGGAGCATATGTAAATTTTAAGATTCATATATCAAATATTTGGTAAGATATACTCTCTCACTCACACACACACACACACACACCCACCCACACACACACATATATATATATATATATAAAATTGCCACTCAACTCACTTCCAACAGGGTTTTTTTTTTTCTCACATTGAAATTTGAGGCTGCTTCAACAACAACAATATCTGAGGATCTATTAAAGATAAAAATCTAAACTTTCCACAGGTATTAATCATTATGTCATTGATTCAAAATCTGTAATATTGGACAAGTAAATACAATCATTTCTGATTATGGGGGAGTTGAAATATGAAAAAAGAAAACATTAATAAAATAATTGATAATAAAGAAGTCAACTAGTGATGTTATTTTTTTAACCGTATGTAGCTGCAGGTCACAATATTACAAAACCAAACATATAGATCAGGTTTTAATATGAAGTACTTGGACACAAAAGATTTTAAAAATTGATTTACCATGCTTATCCAAATATATCCAAATAAAATATAAATAAAATAATATCTGACTTTGGTGTTCTCTCTCTCTCTCTTTTCTTTTTATTTTTAATGTGTGCTCAAAGATGGGACTTTCCATGATGCTTCCTTGTTTTTTTTTTTCATTGTGAAGAACTTTGGAACTTCGCTAAGAAAAGTGCAATATGAATAACGTTTATTATATTATTATGAATTATGCTTGCACTTAAAACTAGGTTATATTTAAACTTGTGGTTTCCATTGCCATTCGTTTGTCCAAATAATGTGTACAAATATAAAGTAATAAAAAAAAATACAATAAAGATTGTTATACAGAAAGAAGGAGCTGCAGCCGAAGCAGAAAGTTAGCTTCTAATATATCAGCTCAAGACAGCGTCTCCCATCAACAACACAGAATCAACCTTTGAATTATTGTCGAACTCCCGGTGCGTCGTAAAGTTAGCTCGAACAAAGCTAACTAATCAATGAACACGGGATTTACATCAATTAAACCAACGATTAGGCACATTTTGGACAATTTAATAACGCTATTATGTCACGACGAACGTTTAAATCGATTTGGCGAACTGTTAAAACAGCATAGTTTTAATGCAGCACGCGTAAATAATATTTAAAAGCTTATATATGTTCAAAAATACATTACTCACTGCTGCTGCGTTCTTCCTGCTTGTTCGTCGGTCCGCTTGTCACATGATAATGTTTGGAACCAACAGCCAATCAGATGAAACGAGGAGTTGACATCCAATCGGGTTAAAGGGGAGGGGCTAGCAGGCAAGGGGGCGGAAATGTCTAAGTTGCGACCAAGTTAGCTTGTTTTAGCACTTCTTTCTAGTTCGTACAGCCTTGAAATAACCGACCATATGAGGATATTAGCTTTATCTAATATCTTGGTAGCTGTACGTGAAGCCACATGGATATAAGTTATCATTTAACCGGGGATTTTTCACATGTCAACGCTGCGCTTCTGCTGCTAGCTAATTAGCCTGCCATGCTAGCTGGTTGTGAAAATCCTCGACAACAACATTCCTGCTCGGATTATTTAGCGAGTTCTCCGAGAGTTTAAACCGGTGGCCGGCTGCGAGAAGAGACCAAAGAAGAAGGAGCAGGTCAGGCAGCGACGTGCAGGATGAATATTCAGTACGAGGACCCCGCGTTGACGGGGAGCTACGGCGGTGAGGGGTCGTTTCCCAAAAGTTTCGGCTACGGGGTGGAGGAGCCCGACATGGAGGAGAGCTCCTCATCAGCTGACAAACCGAGGATCCTGCTGATGGGACTGAGGCGCAGCGGAAAGTCCTCCATCCAGAAGGTAGAGCCATCATTCCTGACCCTGTAGCTGCCCCTAAACACATCACTCAATCAATAAATATCAATAAATACACTGAATAGTCCTGAGCTGGCAGTAGGTACACTTAGATGTAACTGATACAGCCAGAAAACTTCACTTTTTGATCATTATAATGACCAAATCTAGATGGAAATGTTTTTCAAAGGTGTTTCTCAAACTTCATGGTCATTTTGGAAGATGTAGTTTGTGTGTTATACTTGAAGTGTTACTGTTTGGATAAAATGAACATTACAAGCTAAATGAAGCCCTGAATGAAAAATAATAGAAAGCAGCACCTCTTCCTGTTTGAGAAGATATAACTGTGATTTTGTGAGACACTTTTGGCCTGATAGATGACACACAAATAATTAAAATGTCACAAGAGCTATAAAATAAAGCATGCACAAATGAAATGTACATTGATGATATGTTAATGCAGTTAAAGTGATATTCTAACATACCAATTTAGACAGCTAAAAAAGTTGATATAAATAGATATTTCTTGCTTCAGGCAGAATGTGGATTGAGAGAATACAGACACTGAGAGTAGAAACAATCTTTTTGCGTCCCTGCTCAGGTTGTTTTCCACAAGATGTCCCCCAACGAGACTTTATTCCTCGAAAGCACCAACAAAATCTACAAGGACGACATTTCCGGCAGCTCCTTTGTCAACTTCCAGATCTGGGACTTTCCCGGCCAGGTGGACTTCTTTGACCCCACGTTTGACAGCGAGATGATCTTCAAGGGAACCGGAGCTTTGATTTTTGTCATCGACGCTCAGGTGGGATGATTTATGTGAGTTAGAGCTCATATCTCAGGTTTTAAAACGCTTCCCGTGTTTGATGAATTAACGCGTCGCCTGTCTTCTGTTGCCAGGACGACTACATGGAGGCTCTCAGTCGGTTACACCTGACTGTAAGTAGAGCCTACAAAGTGAATCCAGACATCAACTTTGAGGTGTTCATCCATAAAGTCGACGGTTTGTCGGACGACCACAAGATAGAAACGCAAAGAGACATTCACCAGAGGGCCAACGATGACTTGGCAGACGCGAGTCTGGAGAAGGTTCACCTCAGGTGAGTCTGCGTGTCTGCACAGGTCAAATACTTTTAGTTAGAGATATCAAGCTTGGGCTTCTGATCCCTCCTAGAAGCACTTTTTTTGTTTGTTTTTGTCTCACAGGATGAAGTTTATGTGCTGTAGTCAGACAGAGAGCTGCTTTTAGTCTGTGTTTCTTTGCTTTGGGGCAGCAGCAATTAGGACTTTGGGTGTTCAGCCTTTTAGCCCTTTAAACCCTGTTGTTTACTCTTGTCGATTCCAAACTGACTCTTGAAAATGTGAAATGCAAACATCAGCGAACAAGCAAACATTCAGCTGAATTCACCATCTTCAGGTCGGTTCCTTCCTTCCTGCCTTTTGTGTTGTATGAAAACATCACAACTTTAATGCAGGAAACAGAACAACCTGCCCAGCAACAACAAATTACTTTTATTTGTGTGCTGTCCCTGTTTAAATAAACAATATAATTACAAAATCTTCACTTCATTTCACACTTTGGAATGTGACGGTCAAAGTTTAAGGAGCAATATTATCATGAAGCAGTGTGTCAAAGTAGTATGTATGGAACCATTCGTACTTTGTGATTTCAGCTTCAGTTTTAAATGTGGAACACAGTCATTGTTTCTCCTCCTCAGCTTCTACCTGACCAGCATCTACGATCACTCCATATTCGAGGCTTTCAGCAAAGTCGTCCAGAAGCTCATCCCTCAGCTGCCGACGCTGGAGAACCTTTTGAACATTTTCATATCTGTATGTTTCATTTTAGTCACATAAACAACAGTGGAAAGCCTCCTTGTGTGCGTTTAACTTAAACGAACGTTCTTCTTGTTTGGCAGCACTCTGGGATAGAAAAGGCCTTCCTGTTTGACGTCGTCAGCAAGATTTACATCGCCACCGACAGCTCCCCCGTGGACATGCAGTCCTACGAGCTCTGCTGCGACATGATCGACGTCGTCATCGACGTCTCCTGCATTTACGGGTGAGAAGAGTTATATCTTAGTGGTTTTAAGCTTTGGCAAAGATTGTATGTAGGAGCTAATATGTGTGTTTTCTTCCTGTTCAGACTAATGGAGGATGGCAGCAGCTGCGCCTACGACAAGGAGTCTTTGGCGATCATCAAGCTCAACAACACTACAGTGCTTTATTTGAAAGAGGTCACAAAGTTCCTCGCGCTCGTCTGCATCCTCAGAGAGGAGAGCTTTGAGAGGAAAGGTGCGTAGTTTTATGTTTTACCATCATTTATTGTGGCATCATTTGATTATATGGGATGTCTTAAATGTCTCATTAAACTCTGAAAGAACACAGAACAGTACAAGCTGAGGTTTGATACCACAGCTTTTTCAGAGTGCATCCAAAACACTTTTAAAATGAATCACAGACACTTTTAAAATGTGTTTGTCTTTTCAGGCTATTTTACACCTAAAAGATTCAACACTTAATAAACTTGAGGTTGCATCCATATATCCAGTTACATGATACGGGATTGATATTGGCATGTTTTTATGTAAGTTTTCACATACATACTCGTGATTTTTATTGGTCTTTTAGTGCAGCAGTGCAGGAATGAGTACTTTGACCCAGAACAGAATCTAACCCTACGGAGCAATATTTTACAGAATGTGCTTATTTGGTGTCTTGCTGACAGTTAAATGAGGTCATCTGCACAAAACCCAAAGTTTTGACACAGCAGAAAATCTTACAGGAGCCTTTATGCCAAACTAGGGCTGAAAATTTCATTGATTTCAAACCAAAAATCACCATTTGAAAAGCCTGTAATGTCCACTAAGTTACATCAGCTGGCCGAGAAGTTGGAGGACACAAAACTTAACACAAGATGTTGTTTTAATCAAATCAGTTTGAGGATTTAATGAGCTCTGCAGAGGTGTTGGTACGTGCGTTTTGTTAGCTGAATATAGCTTTTATGTGAAGTTAACCAGCTGCCAACTGCAGCTTTATATTTTGTGTGCAGACTTAAGAGTTGTGGAAGTCTTCTGATTTCCAAGCAAGTCAGTGAAAATACCTAATTTACTGGAATGTCAAAGTTTTAAAGCTTTATTTGTTTTGTTCAGTGTAGATGGATGTCTTTGTAGAGAAAAGACTATTTTGCAGTTTTACAATTTCAAGCACCAGTTTGTGCCTTTTCTGCATCATTTATTTACTCTGACAGATGTCTTATGTTGTGTTATTTAATTATATTGCATCTTTCTCTCTTTTTTTTTGCTATTTTTATTCTAATACAGTAGGTTTTTTTTTTTTCTTCTTTTGTCAGCTCAGTGTAAGTTCCACATGTTTTGTGGTTGGTAAACTGGTGCTGAGATGCAGACATTTCCCACAAAAGATGAATGAAGTGCTCTATTTATGCAAAATTAAAACACCAAATTAAGGCACCAGAGCATAATTCAAAATATAAAAGAGTTCAAAATGCAGTGAGGTGAATAGTCTGTTCTCGTTTTGAAATATTCACTCTCCTGTAGCTCAACTTTTTTATTTATTATGATCGCTGCTGAACCAGAACACGCACGGGACTGATTTACTCTTCTGTTGTCTCTTTTTGGGGAAGTAGTCACTTTAGATATGCAGGTGGTGCGCATTAATGTCAATGATACGTTCATTTGAACTGATTTCTAACTATAAGAATGAAATCTATCTCTGTTATTAAATGCTTTAAATAACTGTGTTTTGTCATCTCTGCAGGTTTGATAGAGTACAATTTTCACTGTTTCCGAAAAGCCATCCACGAGGTGTTTGAAGTCGGCAACTCGACCGACGGTGCCGCCTGGAGACCAGCGAGTTCGTCCAGCAGCAACCAGACGGGCCTGAAGTACGCAGCTCTGAATGGAAACGCTGTGTGAGGTTAACTCTGTGACTCTGGTTGACCTGCAGTGCACCGTGTGAATTGCTTCGAGAGGCTGAACGTCAGCTGACGGACTGAACTCAGAGCGATTTAATTTCTCTCTGAGCTGAAGCTGAAACCGGTGTTCAGAGTGAACCTCATCCGTCTGCTTCTGGTTCGAGAAACACGTCTGTCAGGTGCCAAAGATACTGAAGCGAACGCACCATGAACTGGTTTCTTCTTCCTGCACATTTACCGAATTGTCCAGAATCTCTGTCGGCGATGTTTACCTCCCAGGCCAGTTACTTCCATTCACTCTGCAGCGCTCACACGGGGTTGGAGTCAAACTGAGCACCTTTGATAAATCGAAATGTTGCTGCTCTTTTTAGAGTGAAATATGAGGGTTGATCAAGAAGTTTCAAGACTGTGCAGCGTGTGGCAGCAGTCGTCTGACTCACAGGAGTTAGGCTGCATAAATAAACCTGTGATGGCTGCTCACTTCAGGCCCTCGTTTATGCTGTCTTTGGATCGTGCAGTAAAGCAGCCCGGAACGCTGAAACTACATAATTTGCTTAGCCCCGCCCACGACAGCTGTGATTGGTTAAAAGAAATAGAAACAAGCCAGAGTGTTTGTTTCCAGATAGCAGACTGATGATAAAGTGCAGCCAGATTATGTTCTCCAGAATGAGCTCAGCATGAGTTTACATTACTCACATGCTATCAACACATGATTCTATATAACTTGTGAAGCAGTCGCGTGTCTCAGTGGTTACCCCTGTTGCCTCGCAGCTAGAAGGTCGCTGGTTGGCGTCCTGGTGAGGACACCCAGGATCTTTCTGCGTGGAGTCTCCATGTTCTCCCCGTGCAGCGTGGGTTCTCTCCGGGTTCTCCGGCTTCCTCCCACAGTCCACAAACATGCTGAGGTTAATTGGTGATTGTAAATTGTCCGTAGGTGTGAATGTGAGTGTGCTTGGTTGTCTGTCTCTAAGTGTAGCCCTGTGATAGACTGGTTACCTGTCCAGGTGAACCTGCCTTCACCCTGAGTCAGCTGGGATAGACTCCAGCCCCCCATGACCCTAATGAGGATTAAGGTGTAGAGATGATGGATGGATGTGAAGCAGCATCTGGGAAGAATGCTGAATCTCAAACTGTGTCAAAATCACGTCTCTTTAAATTAAATTTCATTTTGGGGGAGAGGAAGACGTCGGAGGGAGTCACATCTGGTGAGTAGGGTGGAGAGAAGCGACTATTTTTTGGTGTATGTGTGCAGCACATTGGACACGTCGGGTCATTCCAGTGAAAAGCTTTGACAGTCCTACTTTGCGGGATGAATTCACGCTGCACAACCACGTGAACGTTGAACCTGGTGTTGTTTGGTTTTAGAAGCTGCAGCTCTTCCACTGTTGAAACTAGCTCCTCCTCTGGTCACCGTCATGATCCTCCACATGGCTCATCCAGCTACTGACTCAGAATGAGATGTTTTCTTTGCTCCAGATTGAGCTCAGTGGAGAAATCTCAACTGTTCACCTACTAGAAGCTAGAAAGCCTCCGTAACACTGCTGTCGTGCTGCTCTCACATGATGCCGTCTCAAACTTTTCAATCAACCCTCGTGGGAAAAGCTCTCAGTGGGTTTAATCCCCAGTTTGAAACAGAAAGCCTCCAGCGAGGCTCAGCATTTGATCCTCTGTGGGTTTTGTTGATAATCGGACCATCAGCCGGCGTTCTGTTCAGGATCATCTCGGAGCAGAACCGTGCCAGTTTCACCATTAGAGAGCGACGGACTGCTGCTGTTAGTGGAGTCTGAAGTAAGTGATGGTGCCTTTAGGACAACCTGCCAAAACCAACTCGCTCCTCGTAGCTTCGCCACACGTCGGCCACGTCCACTCCACAGAGGTGGCGTCTGTGGCGTCAAGTGGGACCTGAATGACACTTCAGAAGCCGCAAGGGTTTGTTTTTCTTATCGAGTGTAAATCTTTAATAAAATGTGTTTCGTACTTTGCTGAGTCGACTTCAACTCTTTAACACATTATTTATTGAAATGAATTGAAAATGTTCTGGTTTGGGATAAACGTCGAGCACACCAGACTCACTGCACCTGTTTAAATCACATAATTTAACCAGTCAGCATTAGATATCCTTTGTTTAGCAGAATCTATCTGATTTGTTTTTAAAAGAGTTGACCTGAGGAGCATCCACGACGTCTTCAGTTTTTTTGCTATAAGAAGCACTATAAGAGGACTTTATAAATACTGGAGTGTTTTTATATCCATTATTATTATTATTATTATAGAATTTAATCTTTGTGTCCTCATGATAGAGTTAAAAAAGTTTCTCATATGTGTGACTTCGTATCCCATACAAGGTTTTTAAAGTTAATTTTTTGGGGATTTACATAAAAATCGAGCACCTTTCTTGTTTCATTAAGATTTATTTAAATTCTCTAAAAAAAACATTTGAATCTTTTCCATAATTCTTCTTTGTGTTTTAGAAATTTGAGAGTTTCAAATGATAAAATATTAGGTTGTAATCGAGTTCAAAGTTAGAAATCCAGTGTTTAGGGCGACCCTAAAGCTCATTTAGTTGATCAGGCGACCCATGAACAGGGGCTATAGTCCCCGATGCAGTGGTTGTGAGTTCGAATCCCGCTCATGATCCTCTGCTGCAGGTCTCTCCCCATTCTTCTCCCCCCTTTCCTGTCTCTCTCTACTGCTCTAAATAAAGGCAAAAAGCCAAAAAAATATATATTAAAAAAAGAAAAGAAAAGAAATCCAGCGCTTAACTTTTTATATATACATATATGTATATAAAATCATTATTGTATAAATCTAATAAAGTTTTTCTGCAGTTATGAGGGAAAGAAGAAATTTGTGCATAGAAATGTGAGTAAAATGATCTTTTTTTTTAGAGTTTTTTTGTGTGCTTTTAACTGAATTTCTTTTAAACATCAGCCACAGTGTAACTGGTGTACTTACGACTTTTGAACAGCAGATGGCGGAATATTCACACGTAAACATCCGACGGCTTTATCCTCACTTATCCTCCTGCAAAAGAAGAATTAAAAGTGTTTTTTTTTAATCCTCCCAACAAATTCTCCACAATCAAGTGTGAGAACCAATAATCCATCAGCAGATTGTGGATGAATTTAAACCTTCATCGCTCCGTGCTGATGTTGAAGTCTTCATCACTCCATGTGCTGTGCGTCCTGGCTTAATGAATAGTGGCAGGATGGAGCCGCAGCTGAAGCCTCTAATCGTCCCCAGGCCTCCTGCTCACCGCTGTGGAAAATGGAGGTCAATGAGAGGGAAAATGATATCTTGCTTCTTTCTTTCTTTTTTTTCTTCTTTCTTTCTTTTATTTTTTTTTTCCAGGGACCCTGCAGTTTGCTTCTAACCACAAATAAAAAAAAATCCACACAGCCGAGAAAACTCAGAAGAAACCCAAAACTGTGGAGTGAAAGACAATCCAGAGAGTCTGGAGGGTCAGGATCACGTGTGATGGAGGAGAAAATTCACTTCTAGTGTGAAGATCAACTCCAGAATCACCTTTTATCGTGAAGTGAAGTGAAGTGCAACACCTCAAAAGAAAACGCTCCTATTATTAGATTATTGCAGTGATTTTCCATTTTAGAGCGATAATAAAGCGGTTTGCAGCACCAGTGGATCCTCTAAAGGCCACCATGTATTTAAAATATTCAATTACATCCAGAAAACGCGCCTCTTTCAGGCCGGACTCCCCACAAAGTGACAGGCGGAGGGCGCGTAAAGGAGACGGAGAGGTGGGTGGAAGGGGCGGCGTTTGGAGGAACGGTTTGGTTTTACGCACCAGAGACGCGTCAGTCGATGGAAACCCGTCAGTTCTCAGCTCGCAGGGAGGATTTTAATCATCTGTCACTTCACACGAGCAGCCAGGCAGCAGCGCACAGATCCAGCAGAGTCTCCGGTGAGCGTCTCCAGAGGCGGCCGACGCGCTAAGAGCGGTACGTTTACCGTTGTTTTCTGTCACAACCTGTATGGAGATGAACAGTATTCACAGGTTTAGATCGTGAAAAAGTTCGAGATACTTACATTTAACGTGTGAGTGTGCAGAGGAATAATCCACTGAGGTATTGATGTGTGATCCATGGAGGCGCACGCGGCTCCTCAGCTGTCCTCACCTGCTGCGTAAAGGCGCATTAATAAAACTTATGTGAATTAATTTTATCACATTTTTAGTTGTGTGTTAAACAGCAAGGAGACTTCAAAACCCGCTCTAGTCTCCAATTTGGACGCATTTTATGACGTGTTATAAGGTGTAATTCATGGGCTTTGTTAATGGTTAATAATTGATCAGTTACTGGCTGAACTTGGGTTCCCATATTGTGAAAAACCGTCTGACAGGCCTGATAGACTGAAATCCGTGTTTTACTACATTGTAGCCTGATACTTTCCCATATTTACTCTTATTAACATTTATTACGCTGGAAAAAGAGACCTGTTGAGTCAGCCTGAATGAATGGCTTCAACTGGTGACACAAGTTTATCAAACTGAGGTAACAACTGACTTTAGGTCCACTGGCAGTTAAACTTCAATCACTGGATTCCTCTCAGAGGAGCATTTCTGCAGCTTCATTCTAGGACAAGTCAGATTTAGGTTTCCAGTTTCTCCAACTTAAATATTCGCTTTACCAAAACGTACAATGTGGTTTTGTCATCAGACTTCTTTCCTTTTCTTTACTCTGTGATGTGATTTAAAGCAAACACCAGCTGAGTGGCAGCAGAACAGTCTGAAGAAACGTCATGACGCTAAAGCAGCAGCAGACATGACTTCTGCAGCAATATTAGTTTAAAGGAGCAAAGTTGAATTTCAAGTTGACAGACTCCAGCAGATCCACTTCCAAAACAAAACCTGGAAGATAAATGAGATTCTTTGACTTCTGTACCAAATTAGAACACTGTAAAAAAAAATAATAATTAACTTCATTTAGTTCATGTGGTGCCTTTGAAATGTGAGTTTACTGAACTTCTGTTGACTGATTGGTTCAAATTCATCTTCTGATTTGTAGAAGTGTTCGACCAGCTGAGTTAAATGAACTGAACCTGTTAAAACAACTCGTCTCTGAACACGGCTACAGACGTATTTTTCTTTTGCGTTTTCGACGTTGCCCATTCATTGAAGGCACAGTTATTTTCCTCCACGTCTATTCTGTCAAACTACAAAAACACAAAAAGCGTCTCTGTCACAATGCATGCTGGGAAGTCTGTCTGCATCTGTTTTGTTTCTAATAAACTCAAGTAATTAAGCCAATTCAACTCTGAACTGTTCATTCATTCAACTCATCATTTGGAGTCAAATTAGCTCAAGTTATAACAACTTGTGTTTTAAATCGGCCTGTAAGTACAAATGAGACATTTTAAGTTCAATGAACGAGGAACTAGAAAAACTTGTATGTTTACATTAACTACCAAAGATGAGCTGATTTGACTAAATTCCTTTATGTGGTTTAACAGTGACATATGCACCTGAAAATATTCTTTTATTTTATTTTGTACAGCTTTGCATCTCAGACTTGTTTGTCATAAAGATTAATGAATCCATAAAACTGGAGTTAAAGTTGTTTTGATAATGAATGAACTTTTCAGCTCTTAAATGAACTAGAACTGAACAAAACGCATGTCTCTACATTTAGTAAACTAGAAGAGAAGAGTTGATTTGACTAAGTTCCTTTATGATAAGTTCATAATGTGTAAGGCTATAATACATGATTTATTGATCATACATTATACAGATTATTTTCTCTGACTGTTTATAAACTTAACCTTGTAGTTTTAGTGGCTGGTTTGCACCTGAAAATGTTTGTTTTAGCTAAAAATTAGCAAAAAAACTTTGATAAACTGGGAAGTTTTACAGTGAAGCAACTTTACAATCGTAATAAAGCTTAATTAATCTGTAAAGTTACTGATAATACAGACATTATTATCCCGGCTCTTTAGAACCAAGTCATGTTGGTGCCTTGTTTGCACCTAAAATACTATTTTTAACAACTTCACAGCTCAGATTTGTTCAGATTAAAGCTTGATTAATCTGTAAAGCTGCAATAACTGACTTACTGATGATGAAGACGTTATTTTCTCGAGCTGTTTAGGAAGTAACCGAGTAGTTTTGGAACCTAGTTTGCACCTAAAATACTATTTTTAACAACTTCCCATTACAGCTTGATTAATCCGTGAAGCCTTATTGATAATAAAGACAGTATTTTATGCGTAACTGTTTATAAATGGTGCCGTATTAAAGTGCTGCCGGGCTGAACTCTGCATTGAACAAACAATCACTGCGATGGTGCAGGAGCTGAATGTTTGCAGCATGAGGTCTGTTCTTTCTTCAGTGAGGAAACGGAGGATGTTATTTGGGGGGTTGGGGGTCTGAACGGGCACAAAGTGAGTAACTGATACTGTGAATAAGAGCTTTTGAAGTGGGATTTATGAGAAGAAGAACAAGGAGAGCTTTGAGGAAACAATCCCTCAAAGTCCCCAGTTAGCTTTGGACTCCGGAGACTCGCGGCACAATATCTGCACATCATGTGAACATGTTTCACACACGAGTCTGTTTCATGTTAACGAGTCCGTCGGTGATGTCACGTCTACTTCAGATTACAGATTCTGCTGTGGAGACTCGGTTCAAACCCGCCCAGCACCATCCGGCACCGCTCATAGTTTCCATCACCGCACACCAAAGCCTTGCTCCGTCCATCTGGTCGAATTAGTGCGTTCATTGAAACAATCGGCTCTGGTTGCATTCTGCCCCCTGAAGAAAAGTGTTTTTGTTTCACGCCGAAAGGAATTCCTGACTGTTGTCTTTTTTTAGAAGACAGAGGGCAGAAGGAAAAATGCCTCTTTGTTTTTTTTTTTCTCTTTTTTTTCTCCTTTTTTTTTTGAACCACATGATTTTGCCACATTACGACCACAGTCACATTCCTCCTGAATTCTTGTGTCGGGTGAAGGTTGGTGGAAGCTCGGTGGCTGGAGACGAGCCTCAGACAAATAAAAACAGTGGAGGGGAGATGAGTTTATGACTCTCATTATGAGTCAGTCTCACTCACAGAGCTGTCTTTTCCATTTCCCATTCCTGTTGCTGCCTGGAAAAGTTTTAAAGGAGCAGCTTCACACTTTGGAACAAGGCGTTTTTAATTTGCACAGCTCTTTCTAAAGAAGCACCTTTAAAGCTCAGTGTTGTGCACTAATTTATATTTATGTTCAATACATGTACGTGCAGGAATATAGGAAAGACCGTTTGAGTTCAGGAGCAAATATTTCACATTTTTGCGTTTGTACTAATTGAACAGTTGAGATCAGTGTCAGTCAGTGAGCCTTAGAGGTGCCGGTGTTCACTTTGTTAACATTGGCCAGAGCCAAGCCAGCTCATGTTCCCAGTCTTTATGCTAATAAGCTAATGCTAAGCTAACTGCAGACTCTAGATTCAGTTAGCGTACAAACATGACGATGCGTCAGTGGAAAAATCACAAATTTATCTGGATTTCAACCTGATTCAGACGTTATCAATGCACATCATTCTCCCTTTGGCAGCTCAGTGGGGTCATCATCCTTCATTCTGCTGATTGATGAACAGAAAATAACCCCAATACTGTCTTACAGTTTATGAATAAGTGGATTGGACAAAATGGAGTTTCGAAACATCTGGTAGAAGGTGGCAACATGGTGCAGTTTAACCCAAAACACAATCCTTTTCTTTACCTTATCCAAGTAGTTTTGGTGCCTACTGAGTATTTTTAGTTGCCAAAACCTATCCAGTAGTTTTGTGCCTACCTGAGCAGTTGCCTACACCAAGTGGATTTGGAGACGAAACTTTTTTTTTTTTTTTGCATAAACCTATAAAAATATCTTTGGTGTCAAACCAAGCAGTTTTATTGCCAAAACTTAACTAAGTAGTTCTGTTGCCTCACCAAGTGGTTTTGATGACTGAACTTAATGCAGTAGTTCTGTTCCCTAAACTGAACCAAGTCATTTTGGAGCCTAAACTTATCCAAGTAGTTGTGGTGGCTAAACTTAACCGCATCGTTTTGGCGCCTAACGAACCATTTTTAGTTTCCTGAACCTATCCAGTAGTTTTTATGTCTAAACAAGTAGCACTGGTGCCTAATGAAGTACTTCTGTTGCCTAACCGCTAGTGATGGAGTTTAACCAAGTAGTTTTTTTGTTGCCTAAACTCAATCAAACACTGAAAAAACAGTCATAATGTGACTTTAGTCCAAAAATAAAACCATAATTATGGTTTGAAAGTGGACTTGAACTCTGGAAGTCTGCTCGGTGAAGGTCTGACTCTGTCCTTTACGTCTCTTTCATCCCATCCGGCCTCCAAACAAGGACTTCTGTTCCAAGTCTTGTTTTTGTGTGTTTTGTGTTTTGGTCTTTTATTGCCGGGACAGAAGGGAGACAGTAAATACAGGACGGAGCGGTCGGGGAGGAATGATCTGAGCTGGCCGGGATTCAAACCGGCGACTCTGCTCAGGGCATCGCGCCTTCGTGGTAACTCCCAAACCAGTTGGTTGCGTTGTGCTCTCAGTCTTTATGTAAAGCTAAGCTAATCGCTATGCTAACCACGGCTCTAGCTTAGCCTGTTAGCATGCAGACATGAGAACGCCTCCTTGAATGATTTTAGAATGTAAGACCATTTATGAAGGTGCTTAAAATCCTCCATCTTTATTATCTGAATGTTCCCTTGCACTAGTTTTGGCCTTTTGCTTGTTCCCAGCCCGGTGACTGGTCAGCCGGACTGATCCGGCCTTCAGCCCCTCCGAAGCCCAGAACAAATAAACGAAGCAGTAAATATGAAACAGAGACAGCAGCCCGACAGTCTCTCAGAAAACAAACATTTGTTACCATTAACACCCAGATTTAAGCGGAGCGGCTCGGCCAGCTGGCAGCTGATGGGAAAATATGTTTACTGGCGTGTTTGTGTTGGATCCTGGTTTGCTGTGTTTGA